AGGAAAGGAAATTTTAATGGCCAAATACTCAACTGTAACAATCACACCACTCAGAGCACAGAAAACTTTTACATAAAATGTAGACACCAAATGAAAGAGACGATGTAGAAATAACAAATAACAGTTAGTTTATCGATTAACTTTCGAAGGTAATTTTGCATCGATGAAGACTGAAAAACAACGAGAACCCGTCATTACTGATGTTTAATATTAGGTCTAGTATAAAGTCATACATTATTTTTGCCATAAAATAAAGACTTTATTCACCGTAGTTTAATTATGCTTTATGTCGAATATGTACCGTTATGCCATTTTGAATGTGATGTCATTCCTCTCTTATGGAAATCATTGTCTCATTTAGTACACAGGCTTCTCTTAAGGTCAATTCTTCGTCCGTCAAATTATTCGCTATAGGCAAAAGCAGATAATAATCACTTGGTGCGAGGTAGGGACTAGAAGTTGGATACATAAAAACCGCCCAACTAAGCTTTCGGAGCTTCTGCCGAGTCACTATCGATGTGTGTGATAGAGCGTTGTGCTGACGAAACAAAATACCCTTCTTGTTGCCCAAAGCCTGGCGATTCTGGGCGATTGCTTCCCTCAGATGGTTCAATTGCTCACATTACAGGTCCAAGTTTGGCCGCCGGGAGCAGCTCTTAGTGGATAATTCCTTGAAAATACCACCGAGCACACCACAAAAACCTTCCTGACGGCCAATCTGGGCTTGAAGACCGTTTGCACCGTTTAATTGCCTTTGTTAAGTAAGTTTAAGTTATGCATTTTTCATTGCCAGTCAGCATTCGCTTCGGAAACAGGTACAGCAGCAATGCGCAAATGGTTATTCGGCCCATGAGGTGTTTCCTCGTTCACTCATGTGGCACCCTTACATAGAGCTTCTTTGTGTTTTCAGCCTTTTTCGAGTGGTTCCAAACTGTTTTTTGCGCAATGTTTAGCTCCTGGGCAATCAAACAGTGCTCGCATGCCGATCCGACTCGAAGATGTCCAGTATTTCATTCGCACAGTGAACCATCTTCTAGATCAAAGCCACTGCAACGAAATCGACGAAACCAAGATTGTACAAGACTGACTGTTATAGTATCAGGAAGTATCTTTATCGAAGAAATATCGTAGAATGTAGCACATTTTTCCTTTGCAGCTGTTCATCTTCGGCAAGAGCTCAAATGCTACTGAGTTAAGTGATCAACACTTCTCCCATCAACCGTTTTGATAGGAGATATAATCATTCTAACGCAGTTACAGATCACCAGATCACCACAGTAGCTATTGCAAAAGTGATTGATTACTTTTTACTATACCAAATATTAGTTAGTAGCTCTCATCCAACACGAAAAGAAAAACAAAGATGCTCCACTTGAGACACTTCTACTCGAAACTGAGACCTGATTTCAGTGTTTTTGTTTAATACAGTTGGAAATTGGAATGAATTTATTGGGAATGTTTTCCGAAAATTTTTGATTGGAATCAAATTTTGTACGAAATAAAAGTTTTCTACAATCGCAAGTCAAAACAAGGACATTTTTTTCCTTTACTAAAGCTAATTTATTTATAAAAAGCATACGAAATTCGCAAACGATTTTGAAGAAAATTTGTTAAGAACTTTTTCGATTGTCTGTTTTTTTTTTTAATTCTTTGATAAAAATCAGGTATAAAACTTCTAGCAAGTTTCGGATGCAGACATAATGAGTTACATAAAAAAAAAAAAAAAAAAAAAAAAAAAAAAAAAAAATGTAAAAAGTTTTTAATTTTGTTAATTTGCTTTTTAATTGACGATCATTGAGAATATCCGGTGAGGTGTCATTGAGTGAGTAATAGAATATATTCTTGTAGTACACCTGCAAGTGGCATATGCAACAACACTATTCATGCAATAGAATATGATATAGTTACATACGAGTATGTAGGTATGTATCATTTGTTTGTATTAACAATTCATTGACACTCATTCTTCAATGCTCTTGATGTATTTCTACGTATTCATTGACAAATTCAAAATTGTGAAATTAAAGTTTTATCTACATATGTATATACATGTATTATATAACATTGGCTGCGTCAAACTACAAGCATAATATACACTCTTATTACATATGTACATATATTTATATGAGCATACAGTATGTGTGCGATGACAAAGCCGCATACATACAATACATCCATACATATATACATACATATGTCATACACAACTTATAACAACTTTAAACACACACATATCTACGAATGTCTGCACCATCGTTGTTGCCATATATCATTACGCCTTTCCAAGCTTCGCGCCTAACTGTTGCCATGCTGAGTTTTATTTTTTTTTTCCGTTTTTTTCTTCATTCCATTTCTCTAGTTCATTCATCAATCACTGGTAGTTAAGTTATAGCGTGTCAATTGTTGTCGGTGGCATGTTGGACGCTGCCGGCTTTATGCGCATAATATGGGAAGCGGTTGTGAACGTTTCATTCATGTGCATAGATTTCATAAACATATGTACACATATAAATGTATATAAATATTCGTACGTTAGCTTGTATGTAAATATATGTATTTTTGAATGTGCTGAGTGAAGAGATTGTTGACTAAAAAACGAGTGAAAATTTTAAAATTTTTTTGGGGACGCAAGTCTTGAATTTTAATACCTACTTTTAGCAAGAATACTGAGAAGAAGAATACTGAAAAATAATATCTCGTATCAATAAGCTATAAGGTTTTTTATGCCGACCAGTTAAAGTTGTATTGGAATTTTTAAAAGTTATAGATGAGAAGTTTTTGAAAAATATAACATTCAGTAGAAAGCTACTGCTAATGTAAGCAGTATATGTTTAAAAATATCTAAACTCTGTATGAAAATTAATTTTTAAATTCCATAAATTTTTAATTAAAAAAAAACATTTTTTTTTTACAAAACAGACTACCCAATTTTATTTTTTAATTATTGTGGATAAAAACATTTTTTTTAAATTTTTTCTAACAAAAAAAATTTACGGGTTTTCGAAAATTAATTTGGATGACAAAATTTTTAAAATTTTTTTGAACCAAAAAATATTTACGGGATTTCGATTATTCTGGATAAAAACTTATTTTTTGCATTTTATTTTTGACAAAAAATATTTTCAGATTTATGAAAATTATTTCGGATAAAACCGTTTTTTTACATTGTTTTTTAACAAAATATATTTACGGATTTTTTAAATTATTTAAAAAAAAACATTTTTTTTATATTAAAAAAAAATATATTTATATTTATGGTTTTTGAAAATAAAATTCAAATTATTTAAAATTATTTTCAATAAAAACATTATTTAACACAAATTATTACGATGTTTTTTAAGTTATTTTGGATAAAAATATTTAAAAAAAAAATATTCACGGATTTTTTTAAATAATTTTCGATAAAAACATTCTTTTAAATTTATTTTTAACAAAAAATATTTACGGTTTTTTGAAAATCGTATTTGATAAAAACATTTTCCTACATTTTTCAACAAAAATATTTTTTTGACAAATAAATTGATATTTTTTAAAATTATTTTCAATAAAAATATTTTTTTACACAATATTTACGGTTTTTTTTTTAATTATTTTGGACAAAAACAGTTTCTATATTCTCTATGAAAAAATATTTACGGATTTTTTAAAATTATTTTCAATAAAAACATTTTTTAACGAAAAAATTTACGATTTTTCTTATTGATTTTCATACAGAGAAATTGTTTTACAATTTTTATAATATAATACAATCAACCGATACTAGCAACCAGACGAATGGAAAATGACTTTTTAATTTAATTAAAGTTTAATTTTTAATTTTTGTTTAATTTTAGTTTTTACTTTAAATTTCGCGTTTTCATTTATTGAGTTAATTTAGTTGCTCTATACTCGGCTTTTAGTATAGAAAAATACATTTCATTTATACAAGGACGAGGAAGCTTTTTTATGTTCGCGGAATGGAGGGTTAAAGGAAGGAAATAAAACAGCGAAATTATTTTCCCTTTTCAATATATACACTTTCAAGGCGGATACATTTTTAAGAACTTTCAGTTCATTTATTTGTATCCTCATAAAAAATGTTTTCTCCTTATCTTCAAATTAGGCTGACACTGCTAGTGCCAATATGATCGTGGAGAATTTCAAAAAAGGTTGCATCAGATACTGCCCGGCCGCAGGTCAACTTAAATTAAACGGGCTCCTGTAATTTCTGGTTTCTTGCGGCTGAGAGTCGCTGTAAGCTAATGACATCTTATTCATTATGGTCGCAGCTGGGTTTTCTTGCTTTGTAAAGAGCTTTATCAGTAGAGGATATGCGATTTTTTTTCATATTTCACTTTTCGCCCTCGATTATGTTGTTTGGTTGATGTAACTCAAAGACTTATTGTCTGATAACAAAGATACGTCGTATTTACACTAATTAATGATTCACGATTCTGGAGAGCCTAATCACCACCAAAAAAAAAGAATTTCCATACATTCGGATTTGAAGCGACACTTACAACTACACAAAGATTAAAGATTGCCTAATTTGCAAGTAATAAATGTTAATCTACACGCGCCAACGAAACCAGCGATTTACTTGTAAACTCATTAACATTAATACATTGCCTTTAAATACTTAGAAATCACTCAGTGGTAATTTTCATTTTCCACAGAAAAGTACACATCAACACACACACGCATGTAAATATTATACAAATATAAGAACGCACTAGCAAATTAGTATGCTGTGTGAACAAATTGTTGTTATTGCTCACGACATATACAATTACAAGTAGCTGCTACCAGCTTTGTGTACAATAATAAGTGTAGAAGGCTTTTAGGCGCTTAAGCTGTGTATATTTCCAGTTTAGTTGTATATGTATTTGTATGCTAGTTTAAAAATTTTCTCTCACTAATTCCTATTATTGTTTTGCAGTATATTCTATTTATATCGATTTTCTGTGGACTTTTGCAATCCAAAAGTAAACTGTATTCTCTTTTTATTAGTACAATTAGTCTTTTTTTTTTTTAATAAATATAAACGTGTTTCCCATTTTCTGCTTTATGCTTATGCCAATAACAATTTAACGGTGTTTATTTACAACTTAGAAATGTTTGTTTTTTTTTTTTTTTGCAAAAACTGCAAAATTCTGTCTGGAATTTTTTCCTTATTGCTTAGACGCCGTACGAGTGAGTGTACATACATACATACAATAATATGTTTAAATATTCTTTTTTTTTCATAATTTCAACTTTTTTCTGCTACATTTTGAATTTAAATTACAAACTAACAGGGCTACATACCCACATACACTTGTGCTACTTATCTCATTTGTTAACTGGAATTCATTTCATTTTTCTCACTACAATTTTTCATTATAATTTGCCGTTTTTTTTTCATTAAACATTGAGTACGGAATGCTTTTTATTGTTGCCCGCCGGCACCTGCACAGCAATCACCGCTAGTCGCCCATCGCGCAGTGGCGCAAGTATGTGTGTGTTTCCAGGTGTAACCACAACCGTTTGTATTGGAATATGCAGTGGAATGTCAAATACTGGTTTTAAGCTGGAAGGAGAAGAAGAAGATGTAAATTTTTATTACAAAATAATATTTAATAAAAAAATATTTAAGCAAAAAGTAAATATTTAAACAAAAATTCATAAGAGCTGGTATATTACACAAATTTGTATTCAAGAATAAAAAAATTAGATATTTTCTTTTGAACATTTCGATTTTTTTTTCAAGAACATCAAAACATTTTACGTTTTTTTAAGTAAATTAAAAAACTCTATAAAAATACATATTTAATTAATGTCATACTTCAATGTTGTTTTAATATTACCCAAGCCAGAGTTCGCACAATCTGCTATAAATTACAGCGTGACAGCATTTCATCATGCATATGCACACACATACATACACGTATATATACATATATAAATATGTGCAATTCGCTTTAAGCTCTTTTTCTAGATAACGGGGCTATCTCTGAAAGCATTACTGAACTGAAGATAAGACATACGTGACCTTGCATTATTGACAATTATCTAAAAATTCATAATAATTCAGACAGTAAATTAAATATATAATTTTTCATAATTCACACTGACAAGATGAAATTATCATTAAGCAGTTAAAAGCTTACATTTTTATATATGTACATATTCATCGCCAGTTAAGATATAAAAAGTACACCTGCTGAGCCAAATTTTTGTTTCATTTTATTGAATATACACAATATTTACTTTATTTTTGAAAGTAATATGACAAATTTTCCAATATCAACCTGTAAAATTATACATATATATGATCTGTCATAGAAAACATCGCAGCTGAGCTAACAAAGTACGTTTATATACAATATATACATACCATGTCATATATAGCTCCAGAAAATTAATTGCGCTGATAAGAAAATTAAACTAATTTTGTAAAAATTTATTGGTTTTTATTTTAAAATCAATGTCTCAAAAATGATATCTCATTTGCAGCGTATTTAATGGACGTATATTAAAAAAACTGGATTCAAATGTCCAATGATTATTATTGGTTTTCCACGTTAAAATAGAACATAAATTCCATAGTGTGATGTCTGATTTTCACATTTTTCAAAAGTAAATTATTTAGAACAATCGTCCCCTTTAAAATCCGAAAAACACCGTTTTTTCAGAAATTTGTTTGCAACCGAAGGAAATTATTGCGCTAAACGAAATTTTCAGACAACAATATTCTATATTTAAAGCTTCGAAAACAATGTTTAGTTTCAAAAATAATTGGAATTTTCCCATGTTGTAATGAGTTTTCTAAAGCAGCTGCAGTCTGAACTCGTGAAACGGTGCTGGTGATGGAGTTCGTGCGATGCAACTGTAACAGTCTACCAATTTTTTTTTGCCAATTTTAATGCTCTTTTATATGAACTAAAAAAATACCGAAAAAGTTGCAAAATTCCAAAATTTTTCTAAAAAATTCTCTTAAAGAAAAAAATAGTTTAAAAATAAATAACAATTTTTCCAACTTTTTTACTTCAAATAAGAATGAAGATAATTTAATACTGAAGCTAGTCAACTTTGATTTTTTTCGATATACTTTTTACTCTCAGAAAACGCGCTTAAAAATTCTGTGCGTGCATTTAAACCTGCTAGACGCTCCGCCGCTAGAACTGCTGCAGCTTCTAAAATATGTCGAATTGGCCAATGAAATTTTGAAGACTCTTAGATAGTTTTAGAATAGATTGAAGAAAGAAAGAAAGCATTTTTTGAAGTATTGCCTTATATAAAAAATTTAATAATATGAAAAACAGATTAAAAAATAAAAAAAAACAGTAAAATATAAAAAATATATTAAATAAAATAAAATCAATAAACTAAAAATTAAATTATATATAATAAAAATAAAGGAAAATAAATTAAATTGAAATAACATAAAAGATAATACTAGTATGTCTTTTAAAAACTAATACACAATTTTTGCAACAAATGGTTTCAGTGATCTGTCGCTCGATTGGATTACGCCCAAAAAAGATAATAGGAGAAGTGTTGACCACTTTACTAAGTAGTGTTTGAGCGCATGTCAAAGATCGCGGTAAGATAAAATGCACTATATTCTAATGAAAAAGATGTTCAACAGTGGGACAGGCTAATTGTCAATAACGTCAATAAAACAATGGAAATCGTCGAGCCTGGCCATCATGCGAGCACTGTTTCGCCCTCGAGCTAAACATTGAACAATATATAGTTAGGAACATCGATAGTCCGTACCTTACACCAAGTTAAATATTATCATCTTTTCCTGTCTATGGCGAATTATTTGGCTGTTGAAGCATTGGCCTCAAGAGGAGCATATGAAAAGCGATTGCACCAAATAGTTGCCAATAGTGACAAGAGATTTTATGATAGAGGTAATGCCTTCAAAATGTCAAAAACTTATCGGACAAAACGCTGTATATTTGACATAAGCTCTAGCTATGGTAAATAGAGCCTTCTATTAAATGCAAAAAATTGATGAGTGGTTACTTGACTAATAAGATGAAATTGAATTAAAGAAAAATAAATTAAAATAAAATTTAAAATAAATTAAACCAAAATAAAATACAATAATAATAGAAAAGAATAAAACTAAAATAAATTCACAAAAAATAAAAAAGATAAAACAAAAAAAAAAATATAATAGAAATAACAAATGCAAGGACATTGAATATCACATCAAGTTTGCGGCGAATGCCTGAGATTTAGTCGATTTATTTTAAATGAATTTTTACAAACAATTTGGATAAGTAAAACAACAAAGTGTAATAAATCGATTTTGCCGTTAGTATTGACAGCTGTATGTTGTATCCTACTTTTGACTCTATTATACCAGCTTAATAAAAAAAGATTTCACAATCGAAATGGTTTAAAAAGGCGAAATTGAAAAATTTTTGTAACTTTTTGAAAACACATATCGTAAATATTTTTTTAATCGTATAAGTAATAGTTTTTGTGACACCCATGGTCTGAGAGTAAAAAATTCATGACTCGTTAAACGATGGGAAAATGTTTTCACAAATGCAAATTTGTTCCGAATTGCAAGCGAATTGACTGCGCTCGTCGAGCACGTGGTAGGACGAATTAAGGAGGGAAACGTTATTCCGGCAGCGAATTAATTTTATACGCTTACGGAATTCGCTACAGCGTAGAAATTGTCATAATGATTTATTTTTTTTTATCAATATTCAAATTCTAATTTTGAAAAAAAAACTGTCTCAAATTCGCTTTGCCCTGTGACCTTGAAAAATTTTCCGTGGATATTACGGAATAAAAGAAATAAAATTACTTCAAATTTGCTTACTTTCGAGTTTTAAAGCGAACTTTTTTCTACTTCAAAATTCAAGTTTAATCCGTCTTTACACTTTTTATTTCCCCATAAAGCCTACCACCATAAATCTTACGGTGATTTTAATTTTTATTTTTACTGTATAATAGAATATAAAAAATTGTATATAACACTTGCACATACATACATCTATTGGATACTCATTTCATAATGCAAACTTGTAGTCAGCTGACAAGCGGCTTTCAAGGACAAACTTTCAAATGCTCACACATGTACATATGTAAGTACGAGTACTTGTGTATACATATAATATATACACACATTTATTAAGCGCCTTGCTTGAGAATAAAAACTCATTTTTGTTTGCTTGTCGGCAGATTAAGATTTACAATTGGACTTTCCCAACAACTTGTAGGCAAACGTTTACACTGGCATTACGAAGCACGTACACACTTGTGCCAAAACACACACCCACACACACACATGAAGAAGTATACATACATACATACATGCCTGGCGTGTTTGGATGACAAGTAATTCGTTTTTTATGAACGGCCTATTAACTGCGCGGCAATCAAGCAGTTTGCCGGCCGGCCGGCAAACATTTATTAATACAAAAGCCACGCCACACAAACTACGCCCACCCACCGCACACTTCCTTCGTACGCCCCGGAAAAAGGCAAAAAAAAAAAAGAAATGAAAAAAAAAGAAAAAAAAAATCCCCTCACCATATGGCGAAGCTCGTTTAATAAGCACAGCTGTATGTACATACACGTATGCATGTATGTAGTTACTTACCCATGCAAACGGCTCATGGTGATATCACCGGCATCGTCTGCCACCACCAAGTAATCGGTAGCCGTATCCAATCCAGTTACACGTCCGGATACGTATTTGGAGCCGAGACTTGTGCCGTTTATACTGTAGACATGCACCGAATGCGAGGTATCGTCCAGTGCGCTGAATGCAATGTGACCTGAAACAAACCAGAACCAGAGAATTAAATGTTTAATTTATTAACCAAAAAAAAAAGGAAAAAAAACGAAAAAAAAAACAAAAAGTAAAAACTGCAAACACTTTTTAAGTGTTTAAGTGGAATTGAAGATAAATGAAATAAATGGCAGTGGTGCAACAAGAGAAGGAGAGAGGCAACGAAAATGGACAAACCAATTCAAACATTTTGCTTGCAATGCATTTTACAAAACCATTAAACATACAACAAAGGCAAAAAAAGGTTTGCAAAAAAAAAAAAACTACAAATAGGCACACCCTGTTGGGAAAAGACACAATTGAAATACTTAGCGGAAACTTTATAAAGAAAATAAGTACAAACTTCTTTTTCGTTTTATAAAGCACAATAACTCTGAAGGCTGACAGCGCTCGAGCGATCTTTTGCTCTGATCTTAGTTTATCCACAAACATTCCAAATTTTCTTTTAGCTGCTCCGGTAATGTTATAGAATTCTCAAGCTCTTCGAAGCTTACAGTTTCTTGTAAGGTCAGTTTAGATGCACTAATTCAGATCGAGAGTGGATCACACTATTGCACACCCAGCAAGCCATCAAATTTCAGCATACTTCAAGGTGAGACTAGAGTAACTATATTATCCTAAAAATTCTATACTAAAGGTTTAATATTAGATTTTACTCGCGACCTATCTAAATATCAAGCAAATAGGTTTTTTTCGAATAGATCGGTCTTCCAGTTTCCATATGCGTTAAGGTCGAATTGTTATCTGTATTCCACGACTCACTTCTAGTAAGACGAATATTTCAAACGAAATTCTGTACTCAATGGGAAGAGTGATAAAATGTCTTTCGTTTTATCCACAGACCATCACTTACTACCTAGGTATATTACTGTCCCGTGCGAAAACATTTCAACGACAGACAGTGGAAGGAGAGCGGAGTCGAAGCTCTCCCTTGGTTGTTATTGGCCAAACTCTACTATTGGAAATGGTATGATTTCAGAGAACAAGTTTGAGTTGGTTCTGATTTTAACAGGCTAACAATTATGGTAACAAATATTTGTAAATGAAAATCTTCTTCAAGCGTGTTTGTTATTGAACTCCTTCTAAACTTGGTGAATATGTATGACTACCGCAATACATGCACTGCCAACCGTGCGGACTGTCATTCGGAGGGTCAGGGTTTGAGTCCTAGTCCGGCTAATTGCAGTTGTACCTCTGTTGAAGCTCTTCATAAAATTCCTTAGGCCATTCGGTGACCGCTTAGAACAAACTGAAAAACTGTCGGGGTCCGCGCATACCACAAAAGAGAAAGAAGCTCGGCCGAAAATAGCTTCTGCGGTTACAATGTGCAAAGTGCGGACACCTGCAGCTTTTTCTAAGCCGCCACCGACATGTATATATGCATACATATACTAAATATGTATACGGATTCGAGAAGGTTTCTGTATAATTTTTCTTCTGGAAAGTGGGCCAGAAAGCGAAATTCTTTTCTTTCCAGGAAATATACCAGATACCGGTATCTATAAAGCTTTGATTAGGATTGTTCAACATTCTTTACCTATATCCCATTTTACAACGGTAATTATGCTGCACAAATTGAACGAAATTCAAAAAATCACAACAATTTGTGGCTGAAAAATCGATTGAGAAGACTTTTTGTGATTCTCACTTTTTGTTCCAAGAACATTTGCAATGTGGGATTTCTTCATTTACACAAACACACCAGCACATAAGCGCACACACAGCAGCCCAATACATATATTGTACATATGTACATGTGTATAAACTTAAACAAAAGTTTACGATCACTTGTGAATGTCTAGGCTGACGAGCTTGCACATACTAGTATGCACCGGTTACACAATAGCAGTAGGCATCTACTTTTCTAATTGACAACTTGATTAAGACCAAGCAACCAACTAAGCGACCAAACAAAAGAAAAGAGCAACCGGCAGCCGGAGCATCAAGTCCGAGATTCACAACCGCCCCATAGCAACAGCAGCTCTGCCAGCGGCAATTGTAATTGTAGGTAGGTTGGTAGGTAGGCCGGTTCGGCCTGACAGTCAAAAGAGCACAACGTTTGGAAGAAGACCAAAAACAAAAAAACAAAAAACAAAAAGAACAACGTGAGAAACTCTCGGCGTGATTGAATGATTGCATGAATACAGTTGCAGATACACATACAAACTCACATAAATATGTACGAGTACATATATATGTGTAGGCATATAGTTAAGCCAGCTGACACGCGATATTTTGAAAAGATTTGCAATTTGCAGAGATGAACGGAGTCGTCCGATCAGCCGGCTGGTCGGATGATCGTTTGGTCGCTTGCTTGCTTGGTCAGTTGGCCGCAAACACTTTTTGACGTACTTACATATGTACATATGTATACATAAGTGCATACAGCTGAGCGCTTAGTTGCCAGCTGGTCCAGCAGACTTTCAGTTACGACTGGTTGCGGTTGGTTTGGTCACCATCACCACCACCACCATCGCCACCAACAACAATGCATAAGCATCACCTTCACAGTTAAGCACCAGCGAATGAAACGATTGCATGTCAAACATCTTGTACACGTTTCACACATATTTAAGTGACTTAAATAATTATTATATTACAAACACACACACACACACATATGCATCTATGTATATCCATACATAGAGTGTATAAGTTATGAATAAGTGCATGCCATTAAATGTGGCGGCCGCGGTGGCCGAGTGGTTAGCATTGCGTACTGCCAATCGGAAGGCTCGGGTTCCAATCCTCGTACGGCCAACATCAAAAACTTATGGAAAATTAATTTAAATAAAAAATTAAGCTAAATTTTCTAATTGCGCTCGCCCCTCGGCAGGGAATATCGACCCCTCCGAGTGTATTTCGGACATGAAATAAAGGCTCCTCAGAAAAAAAACCGTCAGCCGCTCGGAGGCGGCTTAGTATAAACTGTATGTCGAGAAGCAGCTCGGCCGGAAATCGCATCAGCGGTTACAAAGCGTCCATTATATATATATATATATATATTTATATATATATATTATGTGTGGCATGTCATATGCTAACAATCAAATACAATTGACCGCATGCCAATTCGTTGAAAATGTATGAAATGTAATAAATTTTTTTTTTTTTTTTTTTGAAACATAAAATAATTTTTTTTTTTTCGGCAAATCATGCTCAATTAAGCCCACATACTTACATACTCGTACCTATGTATGTACATGCAAACACAGATTTTCAGCGCTGTTAAATTATTCAAATAGGCTGGTGATTTTCGTACAATTACGCTTTTTTCTTTTGTTGGATGCAAGTGGCCGCTGGATAAGTGGCACTTTTGGTTTGGCTATGGGAAAATTGTTTGAGTGGCAAGAAAGTTCCACCGCAAGCAGACAAAAAATTGTAGAAATGAAAAAAGAAAACATCAAACACAAGCGTTTGCGGTGTTAACCGGTTTTAAAATAATAATTCCACAACTGATAAGCTTAATTTAATAAAAATTTTATTTGTTACAAATGAACACACATACATACATACGTTTGATTAACTGCACTTGACTAATGAAGGTGAGTGCTTTTTAAGCAAATTAGCTGTGAATTGTAGTTTCAGAAAGGCAAAAAATTAAATTAACAGTAAATATTAAAAAAAAAATTAAAAAAGGAATAAATTAAAATAAAATAAAATAAAATGTTTCGTAAGCGATTATTTCCTGTAGCCAATTGCAATTCACTTGCAAATTTTTGTGCTGAAGCGATAAAGAAACTTTACTGATTAAATACTTATTGGCAGGTAAGCGTATACACATATACATATATATAAATATATATATACATATATATAAATATATATATACATATATATAAATATATATATACATATATATATACTTAATCGACTATTAATAAGTAGCTCCGGAGCTTCCAGACCGGACATTTTTCCGTAGTGGGCGAGCTCTAAGAATGTCGACCAAATCTTTCACTGATGACATCACTGCAGCTCTGGTGAAGCCCAAAATTGACGAAGACCCACGACTGACACAAGAAACGATTGCTAAAGAACCATGACATTCAGGGTTGTATCGCGAATATTAAGTAATCATCTGGAATACACGAAGAAATCTGCTCGATGGGTACCACGAATTTTAAATGAGGAAAAATAAAGGCGCTCGTGTAGATTTTGCTCAATTTTCCCTTAAAAAAAAATCGAAAATGATCAGTCTAGCAACTTTACTAAAACCGTTACTGGTGACGAATCTTGGTTCTATAAGTACGATCTAGAAACCAATCAGCAGCCCATGGTATGGAGCCCAACAAGAGCAACAAAAATCAGCAACAAAAGTAATGATCTCAGTTTACTTCAACCGATCTAATTGGAAAAGGGTCAGAAGGTAACTGCAAACCACTTTTGTACTACACGCTCGTTTACAGTATCGGGCCCATAAACTAAATTAATTTTTTCAGCCGTTTTGGCTGCCTTGATCAAAGAAAAATTGTAAGATATAGGGAATTTTCTCTTTGCTGATGTCCATCTTTGACGAGCGCTCACAACGTACTAAGTTAATCAATCGAAAAACTGTCAAAGACAAACTTTCAGCGCGAATAAACACGTTTTCAGCGCCTGATAGTATGGCATGATGCGACACGTAACACCAGTACTATGGACAATAATGCCATCTCTTCGATAAAAACCGAACTAACTTCTTACTTGACCTAATATATATACATATAAATCCTGAATCCGCTTTCATACACGTACAATTATAAATGTCTATTAGTTATCATTTTACCTACTGAAAGTTGATTTAACCGGTTCATTCCAGTTTGTTTTTTATTGATGAATCGCAGAGGCGTGATGCATTGGGCATTTTCCTCTGGGAAGTCGGCGATAAGAATTTAGCTATGAAATTCATTACTAACACATATGTATGTATGTACATGAATACATATATATCTATATAATAGATTATATAATATGCTAAATGGACTATAGACTTTGCTCCCTCTTTCG